GCGAGGCTTCTTCCTCAGAACTCAGTGGCGCTCCGTAGTCCAGAAAGGGCAGGACAGGGAACTTTCTACCTTTACAAACCAGCAGCTCTCGGAAGAGCAGCCAAATGGGGGGGGGGGGGGGGGGGGGGGCTGCTGGACTCCCGGGGTGCCTGCTTGAGCAGTGGGTGGGGGTGTGGCCCTGTCGCATTGCAGCTGGGTGTTCTAGGCGGGGCTGAGTGTGTGAGCTGGCCGCCGTTGGGATGCCCTCCTTTCCTCTCCCCCAGCTCTGCCCTGGCTACTACTTGCTAGGGCTGCCCGAGACAAGGAGAGAAGGCCCAACCGGGCGCTTTTGAGAGGCGAGAGCAAGCGGCTCTTTGGTTCCTCGCTTCTCGCCAGCCTCTCCTTCTCGGTTCACCAATCCCCCCCACCCCCACTTCTTCGGCTTCTTTAAGATGCGATCCGAAATCGGCCCATTCACAATAGAACAGCCGGGAAGTGTGTGTGTGTGTGTGTGTGTGTGTGTGTGTGTGTGTGTGTGTTTGGGGACTCACTGGAGCAAGGGCTGGAAGAAGCCCCCCCTCCTCCTCCAAAGACCCCCATGGAGATGGAGAGGGAGGAGGCTTCTCCTAGACTCACCCTCTGCTGGGGCATCCCCCCCCCCGTTGATCCGGCCTGGCACAGTCGCCCCTCTTCGGCCTTTTGCTCTGAATCGGTCTGGATTTACACCCGAACTCGGCATTCGCGCGATTGCTTCGGAAACTCCTCTCCTGTTTAGCTGAAGCACTTCTTGGGACAACAACTTCTACTGAAAAGGGAGGGGGGGAGGCGAGAAAGGCCCGTACACACAAAAGGGAAGATCCCCCCCTCCCACAAGGCCTTGGAGGTGGGAAGCTTCGGATTGTTCTGCTATAACTATTAACCGAAAAGAATATACGCCGCTAAGGGTTGAACTGTGGACTTCACTACTTCACCCGTTACTACTAATAAATTGGACCAGAATTGTATTATTTCTTTAAAATTAAAATTAAAATACCGTAGCTTTAGGAGGGGACCTGGAAATACGACTCACATGAAGCGAGGTTTATTGCCTGGTAGATGATATATTCCTTAATTAATCGAGTGGACATTAAAATTTAAATTTACAGTCCTCTATATACATATTTGATCGGCCGGTGTATTTTTGTCTTTACAGTTTTGGAAACACTCCTGGAATCCGTAGCAGCAACAGAGTATTAAATTCTTCCTCCCACCCTCCTTCCTTTTCGCAAGGATATGTATATACATACACACATATATACATATATGTCTGCATGTATGTGTGTATCCCTTTTTTTTAAAAAAAAATGTTTTTGACACGCATACCAAAAACCCGGGTCCTTCTCTCGGGTTTTGTCTCTGTCCTTTCCCGGCCTTACGGTGGCTCCAAGTCTTGGCTGGCCGAACAAGTCCTCCGCTCCGTCGGCCTTTGCCGAGCGCGGGGTGCTGCGCTCTGCTACTTTTAGCTTGGTCCGGTCCTGGAGAGCTCTTTGGAGGAAGGCACGGCGGCGGCGGCGGCGGCGGCCGGGTCGTGCAGCTTCCGCACATGTTTCTTTAAATCAAAGTTCCGGCAGAAGCCTTTGCCGCAGGTGAGGCACGTGAATGGCTTCTTGTCGTTGTGCGTGTGCATGTGGAAGGTTAGGTTGTAAATCTGATGGAAGGCTTTGCTGCAGACGCTGCACTTGTACTGCTTCTCGCCGCTGTGGGTCAGCTTGTGGTTTTTGTAGTTCCCTGACGGGGCAGAAGCAAGAAGGGAAAGAGGGAGAGGGGGGGAGAGAGAGGAAGAGAAAGACGGAGAGGAAGGGAGAGAGAGAGAAAGAAAGAGAAAGAGAGAGAGGTGGAGAGGGAGGGAGAGAGAAAGAGATGGAGAGGGAGGGAAAGAGAAAGCGAGAGAGATGGAGAGGAAGGGAGAGAGATGGAGAGGGAGGGAGGGAGAGAGATGGAGAGGGAGGGTAAGTGAAAGAGAGAGATGGAGAGGGAGGGAGGGAGAAAGAGAGAAAGAAAGAAAGAGAGATAGGGGGGAGGGAGAAAGAGAGAGAGATGGAGAGGGAGGGAAAGAGAAAGAGAGAGATGGAGAAGGAGGGAGAGAGAAAGAGAGAGAACGAAAGAAAGATGGAGAGGGAGGGAAAGAGAAAGAGAGAGATGGAGAGGGAGGAGGGAGAAAGAGAGGAAGAAAGAAAGAGAGATAGGGAGGGAGGGAGAAAGAGAGAGGGAGGGAGAAAGAGAGAGGGAGGGAGAGGGAGGGAGAGAGAAATAAAGAGAAAGATGGAGAAGGAGGGAGAGAGAAAGAGAGAGAACGAAAGAAAGATGGAGAGGGAGGGAGAGAGAAAGAGAGAGAGAAAGAAAGAGAGATAGGGAGGGAAGGAGAAAGAGAGAGAGATGGGGAGGGAGGGAGGGAGAGAGAGGGAGGGGGGTCAGCAAAGGAGAGGCAAAATAATGTAAAAAACGGCAATTCCCGAAGAGGAGGTGTTTGAATTGGTTCTTGAGTTAGCCGCAGTGGTGGATTAAGGCTCACTGGTGCCCCAAGCACTGTCAAATCTTGGTGCCCCCCCCCTCCTTTGCATATACTGCACAAAACAAGCCAAGCTTTTTTGGGGTTTTTTTCTTTCTCAACTTTGTGGTGCCCCCTTAGGCCTGGTGCCCTAAGCACGTGCTTAGCCTGCTTAGTGGTTAGTACAACACTGGTTAACCAGTCTCAGCGCAAGACCCTGACCCAAGGAACTCGGCCGCACCCCAGAGCGAACCAGCCGAAGCCCAAGTTCAAATGAGCCAAGTTCAAAAAAGCACAAACCCAAGTTATCTCAGAAATGTCCGTGGCTCTGTTGACGAAAGGGACCTGCTGCGGGCCCGGCGTCTGATGCCGGCGGCTGCAGCAGTAGCAGCAGCTTCCCCCACTCCCACCACCGCCCCGCTTTCTTGGGCACGGTTTTTCCCCGGCCTTGTAGGGCTCCGGCCTCTTTTGCGCGGCTTCATTAGAAAGTGTCCTGCAAGGGACAGTCAAGAAGTTGTCAAACTCAATCTCTGTCAAGGCCACGCCGCGATGCCGCTAACGAATTAAAAAATTAGAGGCCGGGTCAGCGTCCTGACCCAGAGCAAATGGGAGAACCTGGATTGGGGGGGGGTCGGCCGGGAGTGGTGGGAGTGCGAGGTGGGGGGGAAAGACACCTCGAACTTCACAAATTGTGTCGCTTGAAAGCCAGAGGAATTCCTAGCAAGTTAGGGAGAAACCCTGCCGTGCTTTTTCGGAAGTTTATTCTCCCCCCCCCCAAAAAAAACCCTCTTCTCGTTTAAGAGAGTTTGGGAAAGGCGAATGAAAAAACAAAAAGTACAAAAAGACCCTGTCGACCTTCTTCCCTTCGGGGGGAAAAAAGTTCCTCTCTGCCCGGTTCAATTTCAGGCAAAAAAAATGGGATTCAGCCCAGCTCCAGCACTTTCTCCTTTCCTTGGTTTATTCCGGTGCGTGGAAACACGGGCTTTACTCTCCCACTGACATCAAATGAATTATTCTCGCATTTCGAAGTGGTTTCCTTCTGGCGGGATCGTGCCCCAAGAGGACTGAATTTACTTTCCCGGTTTTAATGACAAGTGACAGGGCTTAACTAGTCTTTCGTAGCAACCCAGGATATGCTCCCCTCCTTTCTCCACATCCCCCCCCCGGGACGCTTGAGGGGGTCACCTTCTGGTAACCTCCAAGTCGGCTCAATTCCACCGCTACATTTTGGAATGCCCGAGACCCCAAGATTCTATCCCGAACGTTCGCGACGTTCTACATGAAGAATCTTCCTCTCCACTGAAAGCCGAAATTTTGTTCAGACGCTTTAAAAAATCGGTGGGAAATTCTCCCCCCCCCCAAACCTTCTTCTATTCTCCCCCACATACATACACACGCAGATCTTTCGTTTGCAACTTGGCGTTCTCCAAAAACGAATTTGTTTTTTTTTTCTTCCCCGTTAAGGAAAAAAAAAAGGCGCAAAGGCAAAGCTAGCTTTCCTCTCGAAAAAAATAAGAATCGCCTTGATTCTTAACGTTTCTTCCCACCCTTCCCACGAGCTCTTCTGCGATTTAAACGAATACAAGAACATCGCCCGGTCCAAATACCTTTTTGATGAAATCCTTTGCCGCAAAATTCGCAGACGAACGGTTTGTAGCCGGCGTGGATCCTAATGTGAGTGTTTAGCGTGGAACTCCTGTTGAAGGCTTTCCCGCATTGGTTACACTTGTGAGGCTTTTCCTGTTGGTGGAAAGGACAGTTAGAGGCCGTTCTTAAAATTACTCGGGGTATTATTATTATTTTTTGCCACCGGAGACCACCGCGTGGCATTTAACCCACTTTCCCTTAAGTGAGTTTAAGACACTTTCCCTTCCTTTTCCTCTCTCTATTTTTAAAGAAAAAACGGAAATACACACCCATCGGGCGGGCATCTCTTTGAAGACCCAGCGTACCTGCGTGTGGATGATTTTATGCCTACAGAGCGTGCTGGCCTGGCGGAAACCTTTCCCACAAACTTTGCACACGAAGGGCCTGGCTCCGGTGTGAACAGGCATGTGCCGGGTGAGATTATAATGGGCGTTGAATACCTACAAAGAAAGACAAGGCAGGGAACTTTTTAGGCCGGAGTACGGAGCTCTCGCCACGTTTAAGCCTTTCTAAACCGGCCGGCCAACTCGAAGGAGAGGGTCAAAGGCTGGGCCTGGTGTTTCGCTTTTAATGCCCCCGGAGCATGCTCTCTTCTTCCCCTTAACCTCGGGGCCGCCTCTCAACCTTTGCAAAAGCGGAACCACGCATGCTGTTGCGGAGTTATGGCTGCCAATCTTAGGCGACCCAGCTATGAGTTATCTGGCCCGCCGAAGATTGCGAGGTGGCCAGGAAAAACAGCCTGTGTGTGTGTGTGAGAGAGAGAGAGAGTGAGTGTGTGAGAGAGAGACCCCGTTTTGCACAGGATGGCCCGGCAGATCAATGTAGGAGAGTGCGCTGAACTCCCCCCCCCCAAAAAAATTCAGTCTTCAGCACAACCGCGTAATAATTAGGAAGCGATTGTGGGTCACCTAGAAGTGATGGGAGAAGCCTAAGGGTGGTTCTGTCTTCCCAAGAAGCCGGGGAAAAGCGCCCCCGTACCTTGCCGCACACTTCGCAGGTGAAGTTTTTGGGCTTCCCGTCGGCCGAGGTGCCGCCTCCACCGCTTCCTGCGCTTGACCCCCCGCCCAGCTTGGCGTGGTGGTGGGCTTTCCCGCTGGGCCTCTCGACGGCCAGGCTGGAGTTCTCCTTCATCACCTGGTCCAGCTGGCCCGGGAGACGCTCTTTATGCGGGTACTGGGGGTTGGGGAACTTCTCTGGCGGGGCCAAAGCGGCCAACTTGGCATTTTCCAGCAGGAAGAGTTTTTGATGGGCGGATAAGGCGGCTGCGGCAGCCGCGGCGGCGGCTGCGGCCGGGCTGGGGGAATGCAGAAGGCCCGAGGCGAAGAGTTGGCCCTGGAGGATCTCCGACGGGTGATAGGCGGAAGAGTCCAGGCAGTTGAAGTAGTAGAGGCTAGATCCGTTGGCCGGCAGGGCCAGAGTCTGGTGGATGACCTGGGGCTTGATCACCCGGCCGGCCCCCGGCAAGGCGGCTTGGCCCAGGGGCGGCGGAGGCGGGAGCTCCCCTTTGCAGCAAGCGCCGCAGTTGCTCTTGCAGAAGGCGCCCGTCGAGCCTCCCAGCGCCGCGGCCCCGCAGTGCCGCAAGCTGCCCTTCCAGAGCTCCGAGTAATTGAGCAGCGCCTTGGAGGGCATCTCGTAGGCCGGCAGCGGCTGGACCGGGATGACGCCCGGCAGAGGCGAGCAGAGGCTTAGCAGCTTCTTGGCGGGAGAGTCGCTTGGCCTGGCCTCGAAGGCGGCGGCGGCGGGTTTGTGATGGGGCTCCGAGCCCTTGGCCATGATCCGCTCGATGGAGAAGGCCAGGCTCTTGGCCGGGTTGGCGGCTCCGGTCCGGATACAGGCGGAAGGCATGACCGTCTCCAGCGAAGCCGACGAGGCCATCTCTACGCGGAGAGCGGGAAGGAAGGGGAAGGAGGACGGCAAAGGTGGGGATCCGCAGCCGGAGGTCGCCCATAAAAATGGACAGAGCGAAAGAAGACGGAGAAGAAGACAGGAAGAAGGAGAAAAAGAAAAAGAAGCGGAGAAGTCAAGCTCAATTCGCCTCGGTCCTCAGCTCAGTCTTGCAGATACATCCATTTTAATAAGCGCCTCTTTTCTTTCTTCCTTCCTTTCTTTCCCTCGCTCGTTTCTCTCCCCCCACCCCGCATCCCCGCATCCCCTCCTCCCATTTACATTCAAATGAACCGGCTGCGCGCAAGGAGGACCAGACCGCTGCTCATTCATTCAGCAGAACGCGCGCCGGGGGGGGGGAGTCGCCGGCAAACTCCGCGAGCCTTTCCGTGTGCGGGATCCGAGACGGCCCGGCTTGGGATATTTTGTGGGGAGGGGGCGAGAATAGGCAGGGCGGCAAGGCTGCCCACCCGGCGGCCTCTTTCGCTTAAGAGTGGTGGCGTGACCCCGAGAGGCGGTGGGGTGGAGGGAAAGGGGAGAAGGAGGAGGGTGTGTGTGTGAGTCTGGCCTGGGGGGTGAGTTACCTTTGCCCGACGCATCCGAGCCCCGCAGTGTTAGCCGCCCGGTCAGACCTGGATAGCAAGCATCTTCCTGGACGTCTCTGGCATTTCAAGCTGACATCGCATGAAGTCACTTCAAGCCGAGTGACACGGGGATTTTGGCCACCGTGCAGGCGGGCGGGAAGCGAGAGGGAGGCAGAAAGCGGACGAGGGTTTCTTTTTCTCAGCCAAACGTTCAGCCCAGGTCTGGACGGATGGGAGGGGTGAGCAGGATAAAGGAACTCCCCCCCTCCTCCTTTCCAATTTAAGGCACACCCTGGATTTCTTCTGCGAGAGCCTTTCCAAAGGGAAGAAGGGGTGGGTGGCTGGGGAAGGGGGGGGGGGAAAGGGGAGGTGTGTGGGTTGGGAGGGGTGGGGGTGGGGGGGTGGAGAGCGACTTGCAAACGCCGAAGAGTCGTTTTGCATGTGGCAAATTAAGACGGAAAGTGTTATTCGCAAGTTGGGCGCCAAGCAAATCGCGCAGCGAAAAAGAAAAAAATTAAAATAAAATAAAAGCCGCCCAGGAGAGGCGAGCTGAGCTGTATTTATTTTAACCAAAATTGAGAAAAGGAGGGGAGAGGAACCAACGAGGAGGTTCGGGAGTTGAGTTGTCGCTCCTCGTTTCAATTGGGACAGCGCGTCTTTCCATCAGATCTTTTGCAAAAGGAGAGGGAGAGAAAGGAAGTCGGGAGGGGGGGGGACCCAGTCTCAATTTAAGGACCGGCTGACCCGCCTCCCCGCTTTTGGAGAGCAGCTCCTTTAATTAGGTCCTGGAGGCGTAAATACGAATTAAACGCAGGTTGGCATCCAAAGTCTCGCCATTCTATAGACCGGCCACCTGCTTTTGCCAAAGTACGAACGGATCCAGTCAAACCGGCGAGCAAACAGTAAACAAACACACGCCCGACAACTTTCTCTAGCAGGATGAGTTTTCCCCCCCCACTAGGACGGAGAATTCCCCCTTTCCCCCAAACGCAGGACTGAATTGCCACTGGCCTCTTCTCTCCTTTCCCCTTCCCCACTTTCTTGAGTTTCTTTTTTTTTTGTGCGCGTTGTTTGACATTGGTTTCCTTTTTTAAAAAAAAAATCGTAATAACCTGCCTGACGTGTTTGTTTTTTAAAAATATTATTCTTTTCCTCTCTCAACCTCAAATAGGGAAAATTGCCATTATCAGAGGATGGGGGAGGGGATCAGAGGAAACAGAGAGAACCAGAAACTTGAATTGGGTTTGTATGCGGGAAAGGGGGAGGTTTGAAGAAATTGTCCACGTTCCACCTAGCGGGTGGGGGTGGGAGAGAGGCTGCCCCGTTTTCGGGGATTCAGCCCCCCCCCCACTCCCCGCGATTGGGAGCTGCTTCCAAAACTCCTTCAATAGGCAAGACTCTAAAGCGCGGCGTGGCACCTGGTTTTCTCTTTCAACAATACAGAGACGGATTATTGGGAAGGGAGGGAGAGAAAGAAAGCAAGGAAGGGGGGCGGGGGGAGAGGCTTCCGCAGGAGGCAAAGTAAGGCCTGAACACCGTCTTCCTTTGTAGCTTTTCCATGCTTTAAAAAAAATTAAGGAAAAAATACTTAGGAGGAACCCCGCTTTTTGTCGCTTTAACAAAAGTTGGCTAAAGGGCCGTCCGCCATCCGGATCGAGCGGCTGTCTCTCTCGCTTTCACCTGGGGAACAGCATACGAGCCCCCTGTAGAGGAGGCATCGGCCACAACACCAACATCTGTGGGGGGGGGGGAGAGAAGAGCAAGGGGTGACCCTGCTGTTTTCCCTCCCCCTTCCCGTTTTGTTCCCGGATCTTAGACACCTTGCAAAAGAGCGGCGGATGCCTCGGGCGGATAGGATCTGCTTGAAGTTTGAAAAAAAAGCGGAGGGACTTTTCATAGTTCCAGAGGGAGTCGCTTCAGCGGTTCGCTCCCTTCCCCAAGTGTTAGAGGGGAGGAACAGCTGTCTGGTTCTCTTTCGCTCCGACGGGATATAAAACATCAGTCTTCTCCTCCTCCCTTTCCCTCCCCAGCGCCCCCTCCCCACAATTTGCGCTGCTAATGCAAGTGAGCGTTCGATTGCTCTCTTTTTTTTTTTAAAAAAGCCACGTTTCTAGCCCTTATGGTGGGAGGCTTTGAAAGAAGCCGTCCACCCTTGCCCTTAAAGCAGCTGAGCGACGGCCGCTTGTCTCGGGTTAGCGCTCGCACCGTCTCGAGGGTCTCGGGTTAGGCTAGTTTTAGTGTGCAGGCAATTCGGCTTACTCGCACGAGGAAACCTTCCGGAGGAATGGCTTGGAGCTGGAGTTGAAGAATAATGCCGCCAGAGGGTCTTTGAAATGGGCCTGGCTTCTAACAGGGCGGTCGATGGGACCCCCAGTTCCTAAAAGTGAAAGATCCCAGGACTCTGCCCCTTAAAGATGTGACTTTTAGAAGTCCTCTTGACCCAAAGATCTGGGATGGGCAAAGAAACACCATAACCTTCCAAAAAGGCCTTCGGCTACTTGGCCATGGATCTCCGTTGCTTTCTGAAAACTCTCTCTCTCTCTTAGAGAGAACGATTCTCGGAGCGGTCCTGAGGCTTGAGATGGCCTTCGCCATTCGCTAGTTAACGCAGACCACAATTCCCCAAACCCCCAGCCACGCTCAAACGAATTGGCTGCCTGCTATTACAGTCCATTTCCTTAAGAGGTCTGGAAGGAGCCTGAGATCCAGCGTGCAGGGGAGATGATCGATACCGGATTCTCCCCCCCAGCATAAGGAGTGCGCTACATACTACAAATGTTTCTTGCTCGCTGGGATCTGAGCGGGGACCTGAACGTCGGGGAGTTAATTAAGTCGAGGGCCTGAAAAAGACCTTCAGAGACGAAGAATTCTTCCGAGATACGCCTGTGAGCTCAAACTCCGGGTAACTCGTTGTGGTCGGAAAAGAAGAGAAAAAAAAAGACCGTCCATAGGGTGGGAGAGATCGACTGGCTTCCTCTTCGGGAGGCTTCCCTCGAGCTGCCGGGAGAGTTAAGATTTGGAACCGGGAGGCGCCGGGGCTCCGAGCAACCCAAGGGGAAAGGGTGGCCTTCCCATTGAATGCCCTTCCCAAGCAATACCCATTAAAGTGGAGGGCGGCGTGTGTTCTCAATGTGGACGGCGAAAAGGTGCGAACGGCCCCAACCGAATCTAATTCTCGGAGAGCAGAATTGGGGGCTACAACGAAGAGCGGGTAGGGGGGGGGGACACCAATCGCAGCCGATGCCCATGGTTGGCCTTTGGAAAAAGGCTTGTTCAGTGGGGGAGTCTCTCTCTCTCTAGGCCAGTGGGGCCCACGCCTGGAGAGGGGGCAATTTGATTTTTAATAGGGACAATTTGAACCTTGTTTAAACCAAGTTAACGGCCGTTTAGGCTTCCTCCGCGAGTAGAATTCACTTTTTGAACAAAGTAAGAATTATATGTCACAAGGGGGAGGGAGGCATCAGGATTTTAGAGATGCTTAGGTGGGGCCTGGAGGAAAAAAAAAACGGTTGGGAACCCCGGTTGGGATACTTGAGAGACCGCCTTCTGCCAATTACATCCCTGCGACCAATAAGATCACATAGATTAGGCCTCCTCCG